CACCGGGACGTTTTCCGAGGTTTATTCCCTGTGAATCCCATCCCGAGCCACGGACGGTCCCGCTCACCCCGTGCACGTTCAGCCTCCGGGCATCGCCTTTCAAAACCACCTGAGGGAGAGAAGGAGCAGGAGGATTTAACAACGGGAAGGATTTCACCCCGAGAAGAGCTGAAAGTAGCGGGGCAGGGGCGGGTTCAGCCCGAGGGGTCCCATCCCACCCCTGCTCATCCCAAACCRCTCCAGGAACAACCCCCGGCTTTACCTCCTTGTAGCCGAAGCGCTCGCTCTGCGCCTGGTGCCGCAGCTTGCTGGGGAGAGRCACAAAAAAAAGTCACTTTTACACCCAAAACCACTCGGGAGGCGCCTGAAATGGAGCGGAACGCGCTGCTCCCGCCCGGGATTTGGGATCCGCGGCTCTGAGGGTGCCCGGACCGAGGTGGGAATGGGCACGGCAGCGCTGCGGGTTGGCAGCGGAGATTGTTTATTTTGGGAAGTCGTTCGCAGGGCAGGAAGCGCTGAATTTCCAGCGAGCTTGGCCGGGGAACAGCGCCTGGCACAGATCCCCGGGGATGGGCACGGGACAGGCCGGCTCCAAACCGAGCTTCTCCTCCAACCCCGGCCCCAAAATGCGCTCTCACCGCCCCAAAAAACGCCTGAGGGACATCGGCGGAACCGGGACATGGCTGAGCCCGACCTACGGGAACACCAGCTGCTGCCTCGGCTTTGCGGGGTTAAAAATAGCGCTCCCCGAGCAGGGAAAGGCACATCCTCCCTGTCCCGACACAATGCGGCCCTCGCGTGTTTTCTGGAAAAAAAAAARAGCCCCTTCCTGCGCTTCCTGCGCTGCTCCGGGGCTCCGTCCCCGTTTTTTTTGCGATAAAACAACGGGATCCGGGAATGCCCGGGGTCACGGAGCTCCTGGCGCTGCTCACCTGATGAAGTAGCAGCAGAAAATGAGGCTGAGCACGAAGATGAAGATGCCGGTGCCGAAAATGAYCATGTAGATGTTGAGGGGCAGGTCCTGGAAGGTGATGGGCGGCATCGTGCAGSGTTTACCGGGATAAATCAGCCCCAGGCTGCAGGAGCACCCTTGGGGGAAGAGAAATTGGGTGGAAAAAGGGGGAAAAAGGGGAAAAGGAGGTGAAGGAGTGCGCTGTGAGAGCAGAGACCCTTCCAAAGTTTGCCAAGTGAGCAGAAAGCAGCGCTCAGACACGGTCCAGTGTCCGGTGAGCACGGGAGAAGCAGCAGCCCCTCCGAGCAGCCCAGCGTGGCACCGGCAGCTGCTTTTCCAGCGGCCCCAGCCCCTCCTGCAGCCGCACAAAAACACCCCCGGCAGGGTCCGCTTTCATCTCCGGGGCACTCACGGGGCTCCAAGGGGATTTAGGGAAGCACGGAGCTAAAAATCAGCGTGAAAAACRGCAACAGTTGGCGGCTGTCGCTGCCCCGGGAGGAGCAGGCGGCTGCTGTGGGGTCAGGAGAAGCGCTGGGATCGCTCTGGACCAGTT